GGAATTATATCCCTGAGCTCACTGAGGCCAAGATTTCACCTGCAGTTTTCCAGCTCTCCTCTCCAGTGCTATTCAGATAGTTCAGCTTATTTTACTGTTCTGGTGACTTTCTGGTGTAGTGAGCAACCCTCGGAAAAATAGAGTAAGGTAAACCTACGTTATAGGGGCTAGTTTATTACTAATTCTTGGAAGATATAAAACGTCAAAGGAACTTAAGATTGCTTGAACTTCATCACATCTATCCCTCTGGAAGAGTAAATATATGTATAACAGGAAAAAAAAATCTCAAGTGATGTCACAGAACACAGATAATTCAGAGAATGTTTCCGGAATGTTTAATTTTTGCTAAGTGAAAAGAATGACGATAGCGCTTTTGAGCATAAAGATGCTAGCATTCTCGAAGCAAGCCACTTTAGATTAAGCGTAAAGTGCAAGTATGTTTTTCAAAATTTAAGTGTTGTTATCAACAGTAACAGCATGCAGTGAAAAAACACTGTCCTTCACTTCAACTTTTCAATTAGAACAGTGGGTAATGTGTGCTGTCAGTGTGAAGTAGATACAATATGTTTGTCCTGCACACAACAGGAGAGTGAATAGGAACATCTGGCCGTAGCCTCAGTAAAATTGCAAAGGCATCTGTTTACCTCTCGGCTCTGTGACACTGATGGTTTCAAGCTTAAAATATACAGATTACTTTATCTGTGGCCTAATTTACACTGCTACATAAAAGCTACTTGCCTCAGAAACGTCTGCAGTCAATCTGAGTTACGCTAAGATAAATGCAAAGATGGAACTAGTGCTAAATAGGCTGTGCATTTGTCATCTTACGTTAGCGGAGAACTTACAACGTTATCCATTGTTTAAAATTGCTTCTTAAAGAGTTAAGAATCGCTGCTAGTATACATCTGTCCTATATATACAAAAAAAATTTTCATTAATTTCCTCACTAAATTGCATTTTTGCTGTGAAGCTGATTATTGTTTTAGCAGAAATTGATAGGAATTTAATAATCTATTTTTGTCATCTTAGAAGTATGAGTTCACCAGAGCTCAAGATTTTAATTTCATATTTCTTTTTTGATCTTTAAAGGCTCTTTTTTTATTTCTAAAGTCGTATTACAGAAGACTTGCGCTTTATTTACAAGACCCAATTTTCCTGATCATACACTTTTCCAACAATGTTAGCATCTTGAATTTTCACAGTTCATTCCTATAGCTTATTCAAGGCTTTACCAGAATTGATACTCATCTGGTTTGTAGTTATCAGTGTGAAAAGACATTTCGGATGCTTCATTACTGAAATAACTTACTTTTCAAAAGTTCATATCTAGACTCTCACTGGGAGCCAACACATAGAGGAAAATCTGCATATTTGAAATTATTGTTTGTTAGACATACCGTCTGTATTCTCTGTGCCTTTTGGAAATAGGCTTGGAACTGAGCAGCTTCTGTGACTGTGTGCATGTCTACCCATAAACATATATACAGATACATATCTCATATAGAATCATAGAATGGTTTGGGTTAGAAGGGACCTTTAAAGGTCGTCTTGTCCAACACCCCTGCAATGTGCAGGGACATATATACACACATTCTATGTGTGTGGTTGTTCATCCTTGCTTCTCTTGTGGTTGTTCACCCTTGCTTCTGTTTTAATTGTTGGAATTTTGGTTAAATGAGTATATATGTGTGTGTGCGCGTGGCTGCCCTTCTAAACTCCATCTGTGGCACATATATGTTTATGTTACATCTGCGTAGCAATGACCGTGACCTGGGCTGTTCGGTGTCTCCCAGCGCATTTCACGTTGCTCTCTGTTACACGTCTTGCAAGATGGTCTCTGCCAGCGGTACCCTCAGATATGCCAGCAGTAATTACGAGCTTTGATTTGAAATACAGTTCTCACTATATACGTGTGAAGCAGCGCTGTTTAATGTGTGAACTTTTAGAAAGCAGTCGTAAGAAAGCTGTAACAGCTTGCCTTTGAAAAGTGCATCCCTTGACCCGATCAGGATTGAGGTTACCTGGGAGAAGTAGAGTTGCAGTTCCTCTGTCTACTCCCTGCAGGCACAGATGCAGACGGAAATGTGCTCCCTTGCTTCTTACACCACAAAGACACCTTTTACCATTTGAGATACAGGGTCTATTTCATAAGAATGGCAAGAGGGGGAATGAAATAGGACCAAGTGAAGTGATAGCCAGGGTGGAGTGTCAGTCTTCAGAAGAGTTTTAAGAGCCAGGGTGCAGTGTCCCAACCTGGTAGTTCGAGGGCTTTCAAGGCTCTGCAAGAAGCTCTTGGCTTTGGTTCTCTAGCCAAAGGCATTCTGAATTTTCCCATGTTCAGTGTTCCTCCGAACTGATGGCACAAAACACTCTTTTTGCCTGAGAACAGCAGGATTCTGGGGGTTCAGTGTATTGAAGGAACCATTCAGCATATTGTAGGTTTTTGTTAAGCATTTCCCCGTCTTCCCACAGGTCGAAATAGTGACTCACACCGGGCCTCATCGACGCCTGTGGATGGGCCCACAGTTCCAGTTCAAAACAATCCATCCCTCAGGCCAAACTACTGTCATTTCATCCAGTTCTTCAGTGCTGCAGTCGCATGGTCCAAGTGATACCCCACAGCCTCTTCTGGACTTTGATACAGATGATCTTGATCTCAACAGTCTCAGGTAAAAATAAAATCAATTTCCAAGCTGTTCCACATTTGTTGTGTGAATAACTTGCCTCATGCTTAAATGAGGCCATCTGTGTAGAATGTGTAATAGTTTTCATCAAGCTTGTCCAGATGAAAGTCTTAGAAGAGCATGTGACTCAGCAATGAAAATGCATCCAGGCCAAGCAGCGTAGATTCCTTTCTGCTGCCCCTTCTTGGGTAAATGACATGAAAGACAGTACAAAGTCCAGTGTCTTTGCTCAGCATCGTCTTGCCTTTCGCAGTTGCTGCATTGCTTAATAAATTTATTTTCTCAGACGTGACTGGGAGCTTTATGCCATAGATTTAGTTGCTGACTGTGAAACAGTCAGTGTGTTGGAACAGTAAGTGAACTTCTGGAATGTTTTTCCTCTCCCTGTTTTTTGTTTCCCTTCCTTCTCATTCTTTTTCATGTATTTAATTCACCTGGTTTTGGACATTGGCTGATTTGGAATTGGGGGCAGGGGCTAGACCAAGGGAAGGAAGGAGAGCGAAGGTAAATTTAGATTTCCATTTACTGATAGCTGGTGATTTTGCAGAAGTGCTTTATGCACCATGTGTTTCTGTGTCCTGTCCGGTAACTCTCATGATTAACAAGTTTCCATGCTTCTGATTCTCCATGTGACTTGAAGTCCAAAGTTCTGTGGTGTGGGCTTGGATTGTGTAGGACTCTGTCTGAAACTCTCACGAGTGAAACAAGAGAGATGGATAATATGACTAATCCCATTAAAACTGGGCAGATTGTCCTTGGACTGAAAATACATGGGTTTGAAATGTGTGATTTCTCCTTGCGTGTAATTACTCCCACAAGTAAGGATATAGCTGTCAAATACATTATGTTTTTATTGTGTATATATATATATGCAGAAAGAAAGCAGAAATTAAAAAAAGATAGGAATATGTTACAAAAGGAATAGACAATTACAGATGTGTCTTTTCTCCTAAACTGACAAAGAAAGTGCTGCTGTTCAGGAGTGCGATAGAGACTTTTTAACCAGTTTGGGTAAGGGTGAATTTTTTCCTTTGAGCTCATGTCTGAGACATGGTTTGCGGATACTCACTTTGTGTAGAGTCTCAATCTGTCTCTGGATGGATTATCCAGATCTTGGCTCCACAAAGCAAGAGAAAACAACAGTTTTCAACAGTTGGCTGATTGAAAAATAAATAGTTGCTTAATTGGTTCAGGTGATTCAGGTTTGTAATTACAGCCCTCGTGAGCTATGATTTTGACACAGGTGGTAACTATAACTTATTATTTAGGATTCAGCCAGTTCGTTCAGAACCTGTTAGCATGCCGGGGTCGTCACGTCCTGTTTCTGATCGCAGAGGAGTTTCAACAGTGATTGATGCTACCTCAGGTAGAAACATGTTGATTTCATATTTCCTTTGATACTCATGGTATTCATCAATCTTGTCCTTTTTTGTCTGATAACATGTTTACTAACCATTGCCATATACTTAAAAGGATATCATGATTTCAGCTGCACAATAGGGTAAGTGCTGTCTTATACAAATACTTATTAGAAACTACCATAATGATGACTTTTTTTTTTCCTCCTAACACTAAAATCTGAAGTCACAGCATTGTTGTAAGATACGAACGCAATATTTACATTAAGTTTAACATGAGCTATAGAATGCTAAAAGCTGCCTAAACCAAAAAGCAGAACATTTGCAAATACTAACACTGAAATGCTTTTATTAATGAATGCCTAAAGCATAGAATATTACAGTTCCATCTCATGTATAAAATAGCTTTCATTGAAATGTAATCATAAATGTAATTGATTTCTGTGAACAGTCAAGACAACAGGATAGTTTATCTAATGTTTGTGTAATAGGCACATTTTCACTACTCGGCTCTAAAAGAGCGTGTAAATTTAATACTACAGCGGTTATGTTAATATCAACATAATAATATATATACCATGAAGTTTTCTTCTTTTGTTCTCAGTGGTGGAGTATAGTCTGTATAAAAAAACAAGGACAGCAGAGCTTTATATTCTAGTACAGCTGTATAGCGTCTGAAGCGTCCACACAGCAGGATTTTGTGAAATAAAACCTCTCACAAGTAGAATTATTAAACACACAGCATTAGTCAAACAGTCAAGTTGGAGAGGATTTTAATCTTTAGCGATTTGAAAATCCCTGGAGACTGCTGATTGGATTGGGGTTAAACTGTAAAAAGAGACTGAACACATACAGAAACTGGTTTCTGAAGGTTGCTTTAAAGAGAGTTAAAATAAAAGCTCCTGTTCCAGACTCTGTTTGCTATTGATATAAATTCCGAGTCCAAGATATTGCACCGTTTACCAAATTAATTTATATGAGTATTACAGGGTATATCTTAGATGTGTGTATAACTGAGTTCAATAATAACGACATTTACTTTGGGTATTGAGGATTGTCATTATAAATTCCATTTTCAAATATTTAAAACTTGTTAAATTAATTCACGCTGAGCTTAGACAAACATTTGATGCTAGTTATTTAAAGGGAATTTTATTTTTTCTACTTACATGACTAAGTAATTTTGAAGGTAATGGTTTGATACAGAAGAAAACATAAATGAATCAATTACGATTTTTTGGAACTAGTTCATCTATGCCTATTGCCCCTGAAAGGTTACAAGCCTGAATCATAGGAGTGCTTCTGTCTGAGTATCTGACACTTCGGATTCAGGGTGATTAATGGTATAGCTGTTCTTCGCTGCCGGTGTGACTATGCCAGCTGATACAGATAGAGATATCGGGGTTATCAGGGTGTTTTTTTGCTTTTTCCTCTTGTGTGTGAACAGAGCAGTTCTATCCCCTATAGCAGGGATGTGTATTAGTTCTGAAATATAACCATTCTGTACCCATAATGCCTTCTACAACTGTGTTACTCCATCTCCAAGAGAAACAATGAGCCACGTAGGACTGTACCTCTTCTATGCTAAACAATCTATCCCGTAGCGTGGATGGGGCCTTGATATGAAATGGCTCATGTGAATGTGATGAAGCTCTATTGGTAATGCTTTTAACATGTGTGTCCATATTAAAATTGCCAAAGTCAATTGTATACTTTGTTATGACACTGAAAATATATTTACTGTACAGCAGTGACTCAGTTTTGTTATAACACCTCATAAGTTTCTTACAAACAATACATGGATTTTGTTAGGGACACAGGGATAGCACTATTTTATTTAACTTCACTGCCAGACAGTTTGGATTTGAATTGATTTTTGATTCGGGGATTTTACCATTTATTGGCAGTTTTCATATTGCCTGATCCTCGTCTTTTCCCATGCAGAAATTATTGGCCCAAACTTAGGGTAGATATGCCAGATTATGTGTGACGGTATAGGGTTGTGAATTCTGCTCAGGGTAAAGGAGACACAAGTAAAAAACATGCACTGTTTTTTGAGATCTCATGCTATTCTTGTCACAGAGCCCAGCAAAAGGAGGAAGAGTTTTTTATGCTTGCTTTCCTTTCTTCCCACCTTTGAGATGTAAAGAAAATTGCATTAAGCTCAGCTCTGAGTCTAAAGGTTTTATTTTACATGCTGTTCGTGTACAACATTGCATTTTTTGTGTTACAGTCCACTACCGTAAGTATTCTCATTTCCTGCTATTACCAAGGCATGCCCTAAATGGCTTACATTCTTTATGGAAAACAAATTTATTGGAAAATACGTTTTCAGGTTTGAAGGATTTTTTTAAGTAGGTCATAAATTTTTACTGCCTAAGCTGAACCAGGAAGTGATTCTTAGTTATGACCCACGCATTTGAGTCTGTTGCTCTTTATGAAGATGCTTATCTGGCTGTTTGATTGCCTGTTGCTTAGAGATACAACCAGCGTGGCGCCTCTTCTTATCTTAACTCCATCACTTGTTCTTCCTATCAAAAGATTTCAAGTACATGTTTATCATCTTCCATTATTCTTTTGCCATTCTTGATAGCTTCCTTCCTTCTCCGTTGGCGACAGCTCTGTTGTCGCGTTTAGTAAGAAATTTGTGTAATTTTTTTAAATCATGATTCCTACATGTCTGTAAAACTATGTTACGCTGATGACAATATTGTCTCACAAGATCATTTGCAAAAATCTTCATGTAAAAAGTACAAAACTCTAATACATGAAAATCGGTCATGAAAATTCGCAGTGGCATGTTCAAGGTGGATGGCAGTATCTGTAAAGATTACTTGGATAAATGAAAAAAATTAATATTTCAATATGGTTATCTTGACTTAAAATTCTGCTAAGATATTTTTCTCTGTTTAGGTTTTTTGTTTTTTTTTTTTTTTTTAAATTGAATGTTTAAGAAAAGTTTGCGAAAGTGTAGTCACGTAAAGCTAGTGGACATTTGTCCCTTGGTGCACACATTTTAGTCATATGCATGATAGAGAGAATATACCCTCAAGGATTAAATGCACTGTAATTCCAGATGCTATTCCAGATTGGCAGTTGGAAATGTTAAAGGGACAAGACTGAGTTTAAAGCTTTGTAAAGCAGCTTTAATAATCAGCAAAAGAAAGACTACTGTGCACATAGTAAATGCATCCTGTGTGTAGCGAGCAGGCGTGTGTGCTCGTGTCTCTGTGTGTCCGTCCTTTCCAAGGAAGTGCTGAGGCTGTCGGCAGGTTGCGCTGGGTTTCACAAAGGTGGGGTAAGTCTTAGTAAGTCAGGTTACACTTAAGACTTTATTAGACACCACAGATGGAAGAGAAACCTTACAAGTGCCCTGGCTGCAGGAGATGCTGCAGCTGAAGGTGACACTTTTTACACAACCAAACCAGCCAACCCTGAGACAGAAATCTGTAGTGTGATCAAAAATAATAGTTCTTGCAGGATGAGCTGGCTCTATTCCAGAAGACCACTCTACAGGCGTGCCTTGAAAACTTTACGTTACCTGTATACGTCGAATGCTGTTCCTTTCTTTGATGTGACTAGCTTTAGATACGATTTTCAGCTAGCTGAGGATATCTACAGAATGATGGAGACTAATCTAGAAAATGTAAGGATAGGCTAGACATGTAATGGAATATTTCCAGGCGCCTTTCTGAATTTTTATACTGTAACCTGTGGATGAATGATGCGTGTCAGGTATGTTACATACCTGAAAATGAAACCTGATAGAACTCTGCTACTAGTAAGTAATGCAGAAATTAAAGGGTGTAGGAAGGTTAGGGTATCTGTACAGAAAAACAGCTCTGAACTTTCAGAAATAGCAAACCTCTAGAGAAAGGATTTTGCAGCAGTTCCTGATCACAATAAATTTGATCTCACAGCTGCGTTGAGTCTGTAAGGGCAAGCGTTTCCCTTAAACTGTAACAAATGTGTTGAAGGGCTCAGGTACTCTCAGGTATGCTCAGGCATAGCTGTTAATTCAATCCTGCTCAGTTAAAAAAAAAAGTGTGCGCATCTGTGTGTGTGTTTATGAAAAGCTTTGTTTATTCCCTCGTACAAAGAGGTTTTGACACTTAGCTATCAGTCAAGTCCTGATTTTGTTGCATTGTCAGCAGAGTGGGAAGGTGGTGACAAAGAAGTTGTCTGATCTCTGGTTTGCATCAGCCTTTTCCTCTCCTTCTTGGAGGAGATTTCTTTCTTGCTTAGGACAAATACAGATGTTCAAGTGGGAAGGATTTTAATTGATAAAATTAAATTGTGGAAGAAAAAGATCCTGAGCGTTTTTATCCTCTTTGGTTGTGTGTGGGGCAGGGTGAACCCCTATGTTTTTTTCTAAAACCGGGCATGTGCTGTGCTGCTTAGGCAAGCACGCATCATTTTTTAATGAAGGTTTTGTTTATTACTGTTGACTGAAACTCTGACAATACTAAGCTCTCTTCTGGTTCCTTCCCTCAATGCTCACTTAAAATTGGCTTGTAATTCAGTACTTCCCTTTCTTTTGTGTGCGACTGGCTGGTCATGGACAGATAGTTTGTTGCCTGCAGAGGTTTTAATGAACAGAAGAATTGACTTGGGTTTTGCGGGGGAGGGAGTTTGCCTCCCCCCTGCCTGTGAAGGATCTCTTATTGCTCATCACCACACCTGTGTGAGAGGGACCGAGGGACAAATTTTTACTGTCCAGCAATGCTCTCACTTGGAATTTAATAAACACTTCTGCTGTCACACCTTAAACCATCTGAGCTCTCTTCGGTTGCATGCGCGATCAAATATTTATTCCCAAACGCTGTACGCCAGAAAGTGCTGCCTAGGAGTAGCAGAGATCAGTTATTCAGGTAGTAAAGATGTGTGAATGCAGCTGGCAGATGAAGTCACCAACGTTGCGAATTCCCAGGCTGTCCTTACCGCCGCAGGCAATAACTGACAGGCCTGAGCAGGCGCTGGTTTCCCGTTTCGGGCGCTGGTAGGGCGC